TCTCGTGCTGTGCGCGAGCTCCGAAGGTATATTCTGACTAGAATTTGTGTCAGGTTAACCTTATATATTATAAGAATCAGATTTGGTTGTCATAAGTTATTCTAAATAAAATATACCTAACAAAGTTCTCATCAAGTTGGTTGATCTTGGTAAGGTTATATGTTATAAAGACTTGATTTGGTTGATCTAAAATAATCCTGAATAAGATACCATATACAAGATGTCTGGAAATAACCGTCAAATATTTCATGGGCAGATAGAATGGACTAAATTGAATCGAAAAGTTCTCTATCATTTTGTAAGTTTCTCAATAGTTAACGAGATATTAATCCTTAAAGATAGCCGAATACGCGCGTCCGCTCGGCCTATTACTGCGAAGTGTACATCTACCGATCGCTTAGCGCATGAACCGTTGGGAACGGGGATAGCCTGGCAAACGCTGTTCGAGCTATGGAGGCTTGCGGCGGTGCGCGGCGCGGGGCGCTTGCCTGCTAACTTCCAACTCCGCGCACGATCCTTAATCATTTTATAATTTTCGCAATGTAATTAACAAGATATTAATTATTAAAATATTAGTTTTCAAGAATTTTTTACTCAAGTACTATCAACTTTACAAAAACACAGCAAGAGACAAAAATTATTTATTTTGTTCTCATAAAATTCTAGAATTTCTTTAGAATCTTTTTAGAATTTTTTAATAAATCAACCTTTTAGTACTGAATTTTTTTATTAACAATTATTTTTATCAAAGTGAAAAAATACGGTACTAAAAAATTCTGAAAAAATTCCCAGAGCTTTTATGAAAAAAAAAAGAACAATATTTGTATATCTCTTGCTCTATTTCTGTAAAGTTGATAGTACTTGAGTAAAAAATTCTTGAAAACCAATATTCGACAATATTTAGTAATTAATATCTTGTTAACTATCGCGAAAATTATATTATATTATATTAAAACAGTACAGAGTTTGTCGACTCAGTTTAATCCGCTCTACCTGTACTAAACTATTACCTGTACTAAATTATTACTTATTACTTACGATTCAGTTCGCTACTCTTCCTGCCCACATATTTATCGACCAGCGAAATTGAAATGCACCTTGGCGAACAACATGCGGATTTTCATCTGCCCATAATAAATTATTGCATGAGTTAAACACGTCATTCGATGTTAACGTTGCTTCGTCCGTCTACAGAATGTGGTTGGGGAAAATGACATTTCGCCAACACTGCGCGAGCAATCCTACGTTACATTTTGCTGATAGTTAATACTTCTTAAAAAAACAGCGAAAACATTTTATAAAAATAATACAAATACCTTCACAAAAACAGATGCGCGACTCTTTCGCAAGAAGTTGCCCGTTGAAAATAATATGGATGCAGTCTGTTGCGGCGTAGAGCACTATGCACCGCATGTCAGGAGAGACCGTGAGCACGAGCGAAACGATGTACCTGGGGTTTTCTTCAAACGCATGCAAGATTTTCTCTTCATCTTCCATGCGTATTCCAATATACATTCTCTCAACGTATTGCCCAGTCTGCAACACTGATCCCGTTTCCCAAAACAGTCGAACACATCTCAAAATAACGTGTACATCGGGATGTTTTTTGTGCGCAGGAAATAATTCAGTGGAGAAACAAGTGGCGACAAACAATGTTGTTCATTTGTTATCAGCTTCATTTGTTTCTTCACAACAATCAATTCTTCAGTCGTCCAGTGTATGTTGTCGTGCGTGCGGACTATAACATTGCGCCTATTTTCTGAGAAAATGGCAAGTTATACTCCGCCGCAACGGACTGCATCCATCATTTTCAACGGGTGCAGCAACTTCTTGCGAAAGACGAAGAGCCGCGCATCTGTTTTTGAAGATACTTGTATTATTTTTATAAAATGTTTTCGCTATTTCTTTAAGAAGTATTAACTGTCAGCAAAATGTAACGTAGGATTGCTCGCTCAGTGTCGGCGGAATGTCTTTTTCCCCAACCGCATTCTGTGGACGGACGAAGCAACGTTAACACCGAATGTTTAACTCACGCAATAATTTATTATGGGCAGATGAAAATCCGCACGTTATTCGCACTTTGTCTCGTACTTTTTAAAATCTTATCATAATTTTCAGATCAATTCTTTCTTTCTCTCGCCACTTTCTCTAATGAAGCATATACCGACTTTTTGGAGAATGAGTTGCCCTTTTCGAAAACATTCCTCTTCGCGAACGGGGGAAATTCATTTTCAAACACGACGGGTCTCCTCCGCACTTTTCGCGGCAGGCATACGTGACACGCGCTATTCGGACAAGTGAATGGGTCGAGATCCAATCATTTGGCCGGCGCGGTCGCCGGATCTTAACGTACTCGACTATTTCATTTGAGGTCACATCAAAGATTTGGTCGAGCATATTTATAATAGTACTAAAGCTGAGGCACGAAAAGCGATTCTCGCAGCTTTCAATACCATTACAGAAATGGCGCACCACGTGACGCGCAATATTACTCGAAGAGCCGAAATCTGCTTACGAGAGCGAGGAAGGCACTTCAAACAATTCTTGTTCAAACAATTAAAATGCAAGAGTGGATTAGACCTATTGGGGATATAAAAAAAATGCGCCATGCTATCTACCGTCAGGAAATGACAGTGCTTCATCAGCTTTTTACCACAAAAATAATAATTATTTCTTGCTCGCGAACCTGCATTACATATTAATGATTAACGATTAATATTTCGTGTATGTACATGCAGCAAAATATCTATTCTAGTGAAATGCTAATAAGAAAAGATGTAAGTTTTATTGGTATTCCTCTGAATAACGATTATCTATACAAAGAATATTTTCTTGATAATACAGGATGTCTGATAATTCAAGCCAATAATGCTCGTGGACAGATAGAGCGGATTAAACTGAGTCGACAAGTTGTACTGTTTTGTAATTTTCGGGATAGTTAAGATATTAATTATTAAATATCGCCGAATATTGATTTTCAAGAATTTTTTATTCAAGTACTATCAACTTTACAGAAATAAAGCAAGAGATATACAAATATTGTTCATTTTATTTTCATAACAGCTCTAGGAATTTTTTCAGAATTTTTTAGTATCCTATTTTTTTCACTTTGATAAAAATAATTGTTAATAAAAAAATGCAGTACTAAAAGGTTCATTTATTAAAAAAT